CCAGGATAATTCCAGGATAATTCCAGGATAATTCCATCAGACCTGGACCTGACTCCACTCCTGCTCCTCGTGGCCCGTGTTCCTCTAACAGTCGGTCAGTGTGGACCGGGTCGCTGCCCTGACCTTTAACGTGATCAGCTGACCTGTGTGGCCAGCAATTAGAGAGTGACAGTAACACAGGGAGGGCGGGGGGGGCAGGGGGGTGAGAGAGTATGTGGGAACAGGAGCTGAGCTCAGTTCAACCCTGACAAACAGAATATTTATGGTTCTGACCGTGCAGAGGTGAGAAGAGGAATTACACCGGGAGGATTGTTAATATTTTATTTTGTCAAAGTTCTTCATGTTGAAGGAGATTAGTTTGATATTAGTTTGATATGCTGATTGTGGACTTCTGTTTTCAATCAATTCTATTTTTATTCTATTTTAAGATTAGTGGTTTTTCTTCTTCTTCTTCTTCTTCTTGTCTTTTTTTTCCAGATTGTTGAACAGGGCAAGAACGCCAAGAGCTACCACTACATTCTGGCCAACCTGGTAAGAAACGAGTGCAGAACTTCCTCCTTGTGTCAGGGAACATGAATGTCAGCAGATTAGCCTCGTCGTTAGCCTAGCAGCCTAGCTTACTGCTGTTATTTCACACATTCACACCTAAGTTATTTATACCGTAACAACAGTCGTGTATCATTAACAACCTGAGAGCACACAGTCCCACCTTTGTATGTGGTCAGATACACACTCGTTTGATTTGTGTTTCTGGTGTTCCTTCTTTGTTTCCTTGAAAAATACCAGAGAAATACTTCAAGACTCATCGGAGTTGAGTAAAATCCAGGTCCAAACAACTTTTCTACATTTGTTGGTGTCACAAATAAAAAGGTTGTCATGACGACCGCTGAAAAGGATCTGCGGTGCCTCATTCACAGGCCGATGTTCCTGTGGGCGTTTGTCACATCTTTGCTGCTCATGTTTTTGTTTTTTTACTTCGTGTAGTGACAGGAAAATCTGAGCAGCTAAAAGTGAAATGTATTTGTCCTGATGGACGTTCACTGAACCAATCAAACACAGCCTGACCGCATTCAAACATGTCAACAACAACAGGAGACTGCGGCCACCCTGACTCTGCAGTGACGTTCTCACTGTCGCCCCCTGTCTTCACCGTTAGCTGTTAGCAGCAGGTTTGTTGGGATTATGGAAAAAAAACAGCTGCACAGAAACTGAAATGAAGGCTCGGAGTTTAAAGACGAGCAGAATCATCTGTCAGATTTCCTCCTAACTATTAGAGACATCCTTTTGTTCTCTCTCTCTCTCTCCCTTCACTGCATCCTTCACTGCATCCTTCACTGCATCCTTCACTGCATCCTTCACTGCATCCTTCACTGCATCCTTCACTGCATCCTTCACTGCAGCCTCCCTCTCTCCACAGCTTTAACTGATTGCCTGCTGAGAGGCGGCCTCTCTCTGCTGCCTTTCTCTATCGTTCTGAAAACACATAATAGGTGGGAGGAAACTACAAGGAGGAGATGCCATTACAGTCAATCTTTTCTTTCTTCTCTTTCTGCGTCGTCCTCTGTCCCTCATACTGTCCACCGTCCACCCAAGATTCTGCCATTGATAAGAGCAGCCCACGAGGACTCGGACTCCATCAGAGATTAACTGCAGACTGTTGCCGTCATGAAATTGGGTTTTCCATTTTCCCTCCCTCCCTCCCTCCCTCTCTATCTCTCTCCCTCCCTCCCTTCCCCTTCCTCTCTCTCTCCCTACCTCTCTCCCCACTTCTCCCTCAGGAAAGACAAGGATAGAATCTGCAGGATTAGAAAAACTCTCTGGGTGAACAGAAGGATGTCTCAGTCTGGTTGTGCAGTTAACCCCTGACCACCTCGAAAGTTAAAATCATCGCTGCGTTTATTTCTCTTCAGAATCTCTGATCTGAAATATTTGAATTTTTTTTCATCTTTTCTCTAAAGCTGTCCTTCACAGGACACTCTTTATTTTTTTCTTGTCTTTATGGACGTTCTCTAGATCGTTGGTCCCTAACCCCCGGGCCGTGGACCGGCGCCGGTCCGTGGGTCAACTGGTACTGGGTCTCACAGAGAGAATGCATAACTAACATTATTTCCGTTTTATTTATTATTACCTTTGCTAATTTGTCGCTAATTTGCCAACACGCGTAGCCGTTTCCTTTACTGGAGTTACTTTGTGAACTCCTCGTCCTGTCTCTGTCTCAGGGTTTTCTGGACATCGACCTGACGGACCTGAGGAAAGGTGGAGCAAACATAACGGGCTTCCAGCTGGTCAACAACTCGGACCCCGGCGTCAGCCGAGTCGTCCAGCAGTGGATGGAGTTTGACAATAAAGACAACAAGATTCCAAAGAACGGACTCAAAGTAAAAAAACATTTTATTCTTTGTGTCGTTGTGTATCGATTATTACTGTCTATATATTTGATTATTGATTCATCAAAGTACAAATACATTGATATTTCTCTGAGATAAAACAAACGGATTTGTATTGTATTTTATTGGGATGAGATTTTTTTTATTATTTAAAGGTTAAACTTTATCATCTGACAAATCAAAACCTGAAGGGCCACACAGTGGTCTGGTGGGCCCCTTCAGTTGACCTGATGGCCCAGGACAGAGTAGCGGACCTTAGGTTTGACACCTCCGTGACCTTGACCAGTGCAGTGGTTTATTCATCAAAGTAAATTCAGCTTTTTAAATTACATGTTTGGAAAAAGTCATTTTGGTGTTTGGTGAATAATCCGGGGTCTTATCTGAGCCTGTCGCTCCGTGGACCAGGGTTTCTGCTGTTAATTGATTATTGATTTCAGCTCTAACGGCTGTTTCTGCTCAGCTGGAACTCTGGATCCAGATCCATACATTTGTCCTAACACTGGGTCAGAACGTAAGCTTTGAACTCCTGTCATCTGAAACTGATCACTGTTGTTGTTGATCTCCCCCCCCTCTCCCCCCCCCACCTGTCTGTCTTCCATCAGTACACTGGCGCTCTGACATACGACGGGGTCAAAGTCATGTCCTTGGCCTTCCAGAGTTTGAGGAGACAGAGAATAGACATTTCTCGCAGAGGCAACGCTGGGGAGTGTCTTGCCAACCCCCCCGCCCCCTGGGGCCAAGGCATAGACATCCAGAGAGCCCTGCAGCAGGTCTGCACTCACACTCACACACACACACGTACACACACACACACGTACACACACATGTGCTCCTTCTGGTGAGTGACACCCGAGCTAACGGCTCCTGAGCCCAGGCTGGCTGAACAAATTAGGTTTCATTCTGTCGTGTAAAGTTCACATTAAGTCGTAGGAGAGCTGAGCAGGATCAGATGTGACATCATCAGTGCTAAACCAAACCTGAGGGCAACAACGCTCCGCCGTGATCCTCATGGAATATGACATCAGCAATTGAGTTTAGAGATGTAATATTTGGCTGTGGAAATGGAAACACAGGGCTGTGGGACACACACACACACACACACCTAACCCACTCTCACTGAGAAGCAGAGACGGTTATTGTTTTAACTGTGTTCAGCTAATTAAAAAAGGCAAATGTAAAACATGTAAATTAATTACTGCTGAATCTGATCTACATTATTGTCTCTCTGTGATA